TTGAAATTTTTCTCCGTTGCGTGTCGCTTCGCGTTGAATTTTCGTCGATGTTAAGCCTAACAAAAACTATTGTATCGTTAAAAAGTATTTTTTTATTTTGTACAGACAAAATGAATATATTGAAAAATATAAAAACAATAAAAAATTATACTTCAGATGTTAATTTAGTATCAAAAACGTAAAATATTTGAGTAGCCCAAGACATAGCCAAAGATTGAAGCGCCACAGCACTGGCGAAAATTTTAATTTGCCGACTGGAATTCTTTCGGATGATTGACTTTCGGAAAATCGACTCTCTACTGTAATTTAAAATAGAATAATTACATGGTATTGAACAAATTAAATAAATTTAATTTCAAAGTTTAAAATTGAACTGAATTAAAAATTAAACAAATATATAACTACTGTAATCTATAAGCATATGGACATTAACATGATATAATAGAGAGATAAGAGAAAAGCCTGTAAGATGCCTGAAGTATGTATTGTTGATGCTGGACAAACCTGAATATTTATAATATTAGCATGCTTTTTGTAAAATATAAATGTATAATTATTTCAAAAAACCAAATGGATAAATGATTCTATAAGTTCAAAAATTGTTGTTATACTGTTATAATTAATTCCATTAATAGATATTTAAAGGTTCTAAATTATTTAATATCAGAATGGTCAGTAATCATTAAAAAAGTTATTACTTAAAAAAAAAAACTTATTCAGATCTGTTAAGATTATAATCATTTTCAAAATTTTACTTCTTGATTTTGATTAAAAAAATTACTACTTAATATCTCATTTTTAAAACATTAAACTCAAAATATTTTTCGTACAAATAGGAAAATATACTTTTAGAACCGATGTTCGAAATTCCCGGTTCGGATATAATTAGTGTAAGAATCACCAGTGACGTCGTTATGGGTCTATGTCCACCCATTTACATACGCAGCGAACACAGAGAACATGATGACTACGACAACAGCGAAGACAAAGAGCGGGCGATAAATACATGAAATCAGTCAAAGTGGAAAAAAATACATGCAAAGTATCTTTAAGTTTGTAAAATAATTCGAAAGAATCGGACACGTATTATTAACCGAAATATTTCTGTACAAATGCCAAGAGAGATCATCACGAATAATGCGCAGCTTTTTCCGGAGACAGTCAAAATATCTTTTATGTACGGAGAAGTGAGGAGAGGAGATGCTCGACGATTCAAATTTTGTTTACTTTATAAAAGTATTTTGTTTAATTAGAACGATTCTTTTAAAATTAAAAAAAAGGATTTAAATATTTTACAAATTTGTTGTTTTTTTGATCTTTTTACATTTTCAAAAATAAAATGATAGAGTCGCGATTATCTGAAGTAATGTCAACCAAGGATAATCAAAAACTCGAACATTACACCACTGAATGTTCGATTGATTTAATTATTTACCAGTTTTGGTTGTATTAATAAATATTTACCATGTGCTCTATTTTTAGATTAAAAATGTTTTGTTGTATATTTACGTCTAATTTTATTTGCAATTGTATTTATTAAAGCAGATTTTTTAAATTTTTATTGAGAGAAGTTACCAGAGTAAAACCTTTTTAATACTTCTAGAATCTTTTTCATTTCTGCTAAGATTCGTGAAACGATCTGTACGTTCTTTTGTATTTATATTTACAATAATGCAGAATTATTGTAAATATAAATACAATTTAGCAAAATATAAATACAATTTAGCAAAATCGAGATTTTGCTAAATTGTAGTTGTTGGTTTTACAAATCATAACCGAAAAGTATTTTAATAATAAAGATTCATCTAAGAACCCTTGAAATTGAATTTAAAAATTCATCACACTATTTCGAATTAACAGTAAATATAGTTTTATGTTTAAGTAAACATTTAAATATGCACACGCAATAAGAATTTAAAAAGAATGGTCTTATTGATTGTAAAATATAAAATATTGTATTTTTTTCCTGTTTCATAAGATTTTATTATTTGTGAAAATAAAATATTAAAAAATCCGCATTTTAAATTTATAGTTTATCATATTCGAAAATTGACTTTTAAAATTATAGTATTTGAATTAAACTGAATTAAACTCAATCATTATTTGGTCGTTTTACCGAGTTTAACTTAAATGCATTTTATTCTGTAATATTTTAATTATATAAATAAATCTAGGTTGTTATTGGGCTGCAATTGAAAAATTTGTAGACCTATAAATTCCCACTGTCGTCCGTTCGTCAGTCTTTCGTTAATTTCGAGAACGTTAAATTAAATCCGAGACCAGATATGGAAACCTTATGGGCAGGAGACCCCGAACTATATACGAACTTACGATGCAAACCTGAAGTCACGTTATTTCAATTCAAAAATTCCCCCCTCCCGAAAGGTGTTAATGACCGGCACGACTTTATTGTTAAAGGAAAGTATGATGTACAGGGACAAGCCACTAATTTGAGGTGGAGAGCGCACATTTTAAATTTAATTAAAATTGCAATCTGGCATTGTGATGTCGTCACAATAAAATAATTGCTCGTTATATATAATTAAGGATGGATTTGTCAGGAACATGGTTCCTGTGCCTTAAACACTTTACTGGATCAAAATGAAGTGAATCTCACTTCCTTTTGATCCAGTAAATGAAAGTATGTTATGATACAAAATGGTGTATCCGAGTTTTATTAATTTGGCGAAATGTTCAGTCGATACGAATAATAAATTACTGTGTATTTACTATGTTATTTATCAGTTCTGCAAATTAGTCATGAAAATTGTGTACTTACTGTACTTATGTCATGAACAGTCATATCTGTTAATACAGATACGACTGTTCATGACATAAGTACAGTAAGGTATTTCCTGCAGGTGTGCAGCTTTCTTCCTTCAAGTGTCATGTCGGACACACGTTCAATTCGCTTCAAACATGGCGGCCCGGTTCGGGGTCTGTCGTTGGTTCAAATAATAATGTATTTCTGCGCATATAAATGAAACAAAGTCGGCGAACCTAAAAACTCATTGTTTTTAAAACAACTTTTATAATATCGAAAGTATTTTTTATTTGGCTATTTTTTTTTAATAATGTCATTGAGTAGTTACTGTATCAATACATTTACATTTAATTTACACTGAGGTAGCAGTACAGTGCTCTTATATGCCAGGTGAACTCTTACGCCGTGTTTTAAAAATGCAAAAATAAATGATATTCACTAATGATGTTATATGCTCGGATCTATGGTACAATCTTTTAGAAATCCATTGAGAGATAATATAATAAAAAATTCACATTAATAAAAATTTTATTTAACTTAAACGTCTGTTATTTGTAGTATGAATAGTTTACATGTACCGTATGTATTTTATTATATACGATGTGTTTTAATTTAGCAAGTGTAATACAGTACTGTGATAATTTTTTTGCAATATTTACGATTGAAGAGAACAGAAACGATGAGAATCATTTCTGTTTCTTTTATTTTTGCTTCATATATTATTTCATTTTCACAATGTACAAAGAGCATCGTAAACATTTATAAACTTCGGGCGAAATTCGACTTCCCTTCGGACCCTCCTGATGGAAATATCGACAGCTTGAGTTAAGGATTCGAAGAGTCCTTAACTCAAGAGGTGATTATCTTCATTTATTTATAGAATTGTTTCCCAAATTACGAATTCTCCAGTCGGAACATCAATTAAAAGATCGAGAATCACCAATTTAAACAAAACATAGAAACAATAAACTATAGGCTATAATCTTCTTACTTATTAAAATATTCATGATAATGTACGCCTTAATATCTTCAAAATAAAGAAGTTTCATTAATAAAGACACCCGTATGATACAGTTTACTCCTACACGCCATAGCACAAATTCTTTCTTTTTTGTAGATACGGCTTCAAGTTTTTGCTGAAATATTACCTACATATTTTAATATGCTAAGAGTTATTATAAGTAACAATTAAAACGATAGGAATAAACAAAATAAAAGAGATCCTATCTATTGCTATGGCGACTCTCCTCCAATTTCCTTTTCTCGGATGTTGTTTGTAGACGACGTTTTCTTCTTCCATGCCGAAAGAGTGAAATTCTCTGAGTGATTCAGAACACTGCATTTCGGGAGGTATGCACAGAATAATCCCAAATAATCCGGATAACCGATTGTTTATGAATGAAGGTGGGTTAAAGTGGATCGAAGCTCTGCTGAGATTAATCACGAACAGTTCGATCACCATGTTTATAAATATTAAAATCATGGAACGATGAACCAAGGTTACTGAAAAAGTTCAATATATAATTATTAATTTTTAGTATTTATATTTTATTTTATATTATATCGATACGAGAGGGATCTAACACAATTCGAGTTAAATTTCTAAAATAGTTGAAAATTACTGATATATAACACAACTGTTCTCTATATTACACATAGTGGCATAAATCGTTATGTAGGGTGACCATAATTAAAACTCCCTATTCAGGGCACTCTATAGCTGTAACTTAATAAAATTTATATACTGACTACAAAGGACGAGGAGAAGGTTTTGCAAAACAAATTTACTCTAGGGGTTCTTTGGAATATATGGTTTATCATAGAATGCTGCAACTTTGGCAGACTTAAAGGGTCGTATGTAGAGGATTTGATCCCGGGATCTCGAAAATCGGGATCCCGACCACTTTTCAGTCCCAAAATTTTCGGGATTAAGTTTTCCTAATCCCGAGATTTTCGGGATTGACATCATTTTAAAAAAAGTTGCAAAATAGACTGCATGAAGCGAAACGTTCAGTGCCAGTGCTTTTAACAGAATTGCTTGCCTATCATTTTAATATAAAATACAAGAAATTTTATTCCAAGCAAGCAGCAGAAATTAACCTAGCGGGCTTGCGATGCTTGCTTGGAATAAAACTTCTTGTATTTTCAACTAAAATGATAGGCAAGCAGTTCTCACTGGGTTACTTGGTAATATACTTC